TTAAGGATAGCTGTGAAATGTTGCGGTTTGAAAGCCGTAGTGGTGGTGGGGGGGGAAGGAGATATCAAATCAATTTAGTATGTGGACCGTAGGTCCGATCGCCTTCCTAGGAGCGAATCAAGTTCCCAATTAATGTGATCACCTATAAGCTCGACTCTGGCAGTATCGGATTCATGAACAGTCTGTCAACTGTAGGTCCGATCACCTCCGCCCAAACAAGTAGCCGAGTTCACAAACAGTATGATTTATTCAAATGCAACATTTACAAAGCGGGTTTCGGATGTCAGTACAGGAAATTCTCTACTACAGCGTGGGGTTTTTAGCTAGCTCTGATGTACAAATGTGCAATCATCACTCACCCCAGAAGATGGGAGAGGGCTCTGTCTCAAGCCTCCTCAGGTGGCGTCCCAGCCCGAGAAGAGGAAAGGGGGATCGGCCTGTCAACTGATCCAAGAGTTATGATGGATTCTTCCCTCCTCGCTCCTTAGTCTCCTCAGGCAGCGTCCCAACCTGAGGGGAGGGAAGGGGGCTCGGCCTGTCAACTGACCCAGGAGTTACAATGTTTTCTTCCCCCCCGTTTTCATCCTTAGTTCACCTTTTATACTTTTCTTTACATTCAGGTGGAGCTTGAGTGACTAGAGTCATACTTGATATTGTTATTGATTGATGAAAAAGTTTCTCGCTTTCATTTAAAGGTACAGTCAATTGAAAAATCTAGAGCGCATGCTCAGTGAGGAATGGTTGTACCTCGGAGGTGGGTAACTTTTGGGATGGAGGTATGGTTTTCACGTTATAATGAGGAAAGTTCAAGCAACAATTCTTCCACAATAGCATGGCATTTTTAATAAGATGAATATCTTCAAATGTTGCTTATTTCATCAAAAATATAGTTTCAAGGATAAAATATATTAAGAGTTTTCTCAAAGGATTCTGCAGACATATATTAAAAGAGTAGTTACAGATAAATTGCTTAATCAAACTGAATAAAACAGTTGTTATGGTTCAGTTGGGAAGACAAAAGTTGAGAGTTTCTCTAATAATCACAGTTATTGTAAAAGATACTTGTGTCTAATAATCAGGATAAGGTGTGACTAATTAATGGAAAAAATAGGCATAATTCTAATTCACCTGAGGGAAAAAAAAAACTTCAGTTATCCTATGATTTGACAACATGTTTTATGCAGGAGACTGAAATGCAAAACAAGAAGTGTTAGTAAATTCAAGTGAAATAAGTACACATTATGGAATTTTTTTATTATTTGTATCCATTTGATTTTAAACATTTGTTTTACAGTAAATTTGTTTCATCATGAATGAATGTATGTTAGCGTAACAATATTGTAGTTTGAAAAAAGTACCATATGTGTATGTCGACACCCATCTGCACGTCCAGATCTGTATGTGGGCACATTTATCTATATATACTTTTATATATATATTCGTATGTATTGATTACATTTTTTGTAAATTGAAACAGCATATATGTACGGATCTGAAATACCTATGTTGCTTCTATTGCTGCAGAAAATTAAATGTCATCTGAAATCTTCTCAAGCTATCAACCACCTTAGGAAGAAAAGATGCATTATTAGTGCTATTTTACAATAAAGGAAGTAAAGGAGGGATTCAAAATAGCACTTTACAAGTCTAACACACAATTAAGGAAAAGTGTTGAAACCTGAACCTAGTGTGTAATCCTTTAAACCTGAAGCCTGTGTAGGATGTTGTAAAGGTCAAAAAAGTGCAAATTAGTTCAAAATGGTCTAAAACAAATTCATACAGAAAAGAGAAGTACAGTTGAATAATGTCCTGTGTATATATCTTCTACCCTCTAAATACTGATTGCTAAAAGCTGAAAGGATACACAGGTGAAAGAATGCATTTAGCAAGCTTCTTAGTGTTCTTTCCATAAGCTTTTGGTTTGGTCTCTGTTGGAGACCAGATACTAGGCTAAGTAAACACTTCATCTGATTCATTGTAATCATTTTCATGTTAAATCTCTGTAAGCTTAACTATTCACCACTAAATACCCTGATGTGACAGTTACCACAGTGTGTTAAGAGCTTCATTCTTTATTTTTTATGTGTCCCTTTATATTGCTCTATATTTCTTTCTTTTGTATGTTCACTCAATTTTATTTATCCCATTTGTCTTATTTTCCAAGCATGTCCCTTCAAGATGCATGACAGTGTGCTGTGCAAAAAAATAGGCCAGGGAAATAAAAATTATTGGGATTTTGTTTTTCCGTTTCCTTGTTCCTTTCACTTTATGGACCTTGTATCAGATGAAGACGCACAGCGCAGAATCTGAGAATACTTACAGCTATGTGTTCAGACTGATCTTAGTAGTACTGCATCACAGATATCTTTCAATAACATGTTTTTGTGGATTTTCAAAGTGAGAACTGGAGCTGCTAGGCTAACCTTTCCAGAGCCCCAGACAATAAAACATTTTCAGTGACTGCAAATGACAATGACTTTAGGATTTTAGGAACAGGTTCCTTAGCTGATTATGTCAAATGTTATTTGAAGAGATTCTATAACATATACAGTGGAAGATTTTAAAGTTTGTCCATGGTAATT